CTATTTTAAAGTGGTTCAAAAGCTGACTGTACTTTTTCACAATGCCATTGATTTTCATCCCCAACACCACTCGCTCAAATACAGCCCCATGATGCAACTATCATATTTTAAAATATGCACCTCTCATAAAAATCGGATTATAAGATGAAAACAGGTTCAGCCACTTCTCTTAACTTCACCGCCAATTTAGACACATACACACTCATTTTCATATCTTAGTGAGGACATCTAACCACTTACCCTAACCATCAAAAATGAATCCCTAACCTTCAGCCTAAACCTAACCATAACCTAATAAGAAACCTGACACTAAAACAACATTTTTAGGCTCAAAAATGACTTCAAAATCATGGGAACAGGCATTTTGGGACTGTTGGTATAGTAGCATGGCAATGTTCTGTCCTAAAAAAGACGTCTAAACATGCACACACAAGCCAGCAACCTCCAGGAACGAATGCCAACCAGTCTGAAAATATAAATTTTTTCCATAGCACCTTTTGATTGTATCATGGTCAGTATAGCTCTTGAGCAATCTGCTCACGTAAGGAGCCCTAAAAGGATGAGGAAGCTTTTTGCAGCTCAGTTAAAAAAGTAAACAAATGTGATAAAGCAGGGTTGGCTTGAAGGCAGGCCTACATTGTGGCTGAGAAGAGGTTACCATATGAACTGACAGTGATCCTTGGTCAAAGACGGTAATGGCAAAAACAGGCAAAGACTACTATTATACAGTTTTAAAATCTTTTAGCAATTCTTATTAAAAACTACTAAATTTATCCACATTTTAGCCAACACTTCTGTGGTGAAAGTCATCCCAAAGAACAACAACTTACAGTGATGCCTGCATGACAACAAGGTAATACGATGAGAGTGGTGTGCCTATCAAAGGACTCGATGCACCTAGAAATGCCACGCGACTGAAGATGAACTGGGGCAGTCAGCACTTTGTAGCCCAGCACTGTTCAGAGAGGACCAGCATCCTCTCTGCTCCATCAAACTCAGATCTCTCTGCACAGAGACACAGCTCATTTCTCTGGCTCCAGCCATTTTGACTTTTGTTACACTTTCATTCCTCTCACACTGTCGCTCTGATTTGCCTCGTCTTTCTTCTAATGTCACTCTTTTCTTCCTCACCATCTCCCAAAATAAAGACAATTAAAGACCCGTTTTAACCCTCGGTTTCCCTAATGTGTGACACTTGGTGCACAGGAAACAAGTTAGCTTATCAATCGATGACATCATGATGGTAAGTGTGTTTGTTTGTGCGTGCATTGGTGTTTCTAGTCAGGGTCACAGCATCAGCACCATTTAGCCTTAGCCAGGGGAAATGTAGCTTAGCATTATAATTAGATGAGCAGAGAGCAGGTGATTGAGAGATTATGCACGACAGGAAATGAGCTAAGTGGTACAGAGAATGGGAAGACTCACAGCTGTGGATAAATCCTAAAAACATAATTATACAAGTCCCTGAATGATCAGGTTCAGACTGGTTTCAAACTGGCTCATGAATATCTGCAGATGTTCCATTCATCAATAAATAGACTGTGTGACTTCATTCAAAATGTAATTTCCTGAGTCACCGACATTTAAAAGCTCCCTGGAAATGGAATATAAACAGCTGCCGTCATTCAGATGTAGACCAGCTGATACAGGATCCATCTGCTACAACATCAGCTGCAATTTGTATGAACACTGAAATACATTTGAAAAGCTTAGTAAATGTTTATTGTATCTTCAGCTCATTGGGCTTTACTAATTTTTTGTCATATATACAGTGTTATAATAGGAAATCCTCATATTAAACATGGCAGATATTTCAAATAATAAAGTCAGTGTATGTACAAGCTTCAGATTTGATGCTAAATGCACCAGTGTTTTCTCCTCTTGGCACTGTATGATGTCAGTAACAGAGGATATTCCTAATATGGTCATCCGAGGCACACAGCTCCACCCACCAGCAGTTCAGACTTTATATTTACCATGGGCAGCCAATCAGGAGAGAGTTGGCCAAACTAAACAGCAACAATAATTTCAGGGACTTCACCAAGGAATAAAGAGTGAAGAAGAAGAATAATTTGGAGCTGGAAATGAGGACATTAGGTGTTCTTTAAATATAGCAACACAATCGAGTCCCTTGTGTTGTTACTGGGCGGAGGTTGTGGTGTTAATGAAAGACACGGATTAATTAGCGAGCTTTGAACTGGAAGGTTATTGAGATTTTTCCTTCACAAAAGCTAGCTCAATCAGAATAATGTTGGCAAACTGCAATTCTTTTTTTTTCATTTATTTATTTTACATAAAAATGTTTTTTATCTCTTTGTTTTATCTTATTTTATCATCCCTAGTCACTGATAACTAGAGCTGGCCATCACTAGACATCCCACGATATGATATTATCATAGCCCCTTATTCGCCATATGAAAATATTTCGATTTTTTTGTCCTTAAAATTAAACTTTGTCAATACATTTTTTATCCAGTAAGATAAAGATATCTCACATCAGATAACCATCTCAACACTGTCACAAAAACCTGCCATAAATGTCACCATAACATGCAGTTAGTCTGCTATCAGTCTGGCATCAGTTTGTAGTTTAATGGTTGGCAATTGCATGCTATCTGATAATACAGCCATTAACAGTGGTAAATCATTGGAAAATCACGTAGCTGTTGCCATCTACATGAACAGCAATCTAACTATTACATTTCTGCTCAGTAACCTTCCTGTTCTTGAGAAATATAACAGAATACAACCAGCTGGCAGCCTGCTGAGTTGTACTCATTGACTAAGACTCATGCAGACTGATGGCAACATGTTGGCAATCTGTCTGCATTTTTAATTAGACAGAAATCAGCCTTTGACAACCTCACTGAGAACGATTGCAGTCAGTCCGAGTCAGACTGCAACTGTTTGCAGAAAGGTTTCAAGTACCTTGCAATCAAACGGGTCCTGCTCTCTGCAACCATTTAGTCGCCATCTATTAACTTATAAATCATGCAAAAGAAAATTAGCTTGAGAAAATTAGCTCCTAATTTGGAGCTAATTTTCTCAAGCTAGGTGTTTCTAGTGTTGGGTTACCTCAGGGTAGTGGTGCATGTCCCAAAGTATTTGAATTTCTTTAATAAAATATTGATATTTGGTTTGCCTTGTTTTTACTATACTGTATCGATATTCCCTCTCAAACTCTACTGATAACAGCAACATAGAGGACATTTCCTGATGTCAAAATATAATAAAAATTATTGTGATGCAGAGGTTAAAAAATTGAAGGGCTCAGCTGTATTTTAGAATGGGGATCCCTGACACAAAGCATTTAATAAATCAATACAAAACAAGTGGAAAAATATTTTAAACACATCGACCCAGAATTGCAACATCGGTGCCTAAAAACATGCGCTTTAGTTCGATTAGGACTTCCATATGGTGGACCCTGACACGGGTGCATCACATTGATGCTGACTACTTCCAGCCATGCAAAGGCCCTGCTTGGCATGCTTTCAAAGCATTGTTGTTAAAGAAGCGCAGTCCGCTCTTTGGGAACTCCTTCGCTGTTTTTATTGATTGCGCTGAAGCAGAGCAAGCAAACGGCTCCAAATGACTTCTCTGTCGTATCTCACGACAAAAGAGTCTTTGTTCGAAGAGGCCGGCTGAGCGGCCGGTGCCAGAAGCTGACAGAAACAAGGGATGCTGCGGGCAGGGAGGATAGGATGGTGACTTGTCTTACCCTGCTCCAGGTCCTGCTGGTCGTACCATGGCTCTTCCTCTTCGGTTACGAATTCCTCCATTCTCCCTGAGCTTAGCATGGGTTTCCCCGCGGCTCTGTCCGGACAATAGACGTCCTGCAGGAAAGGATCCTACAGAAGACAGCGGTGGCTCCTAGAAACCGGAGCTCTTTTCAGCGCTGTGTTGTGCCTCGACGTGTTTCCTCTCTCCTTCCTCTCCTCCGCGTTTCCTCGGTCACTCCCACTGCCCCCCTCTCATCCCCCCACCACCACGCACCGGCTCATCCCGGTGCTCCGACCTGCCGCCTCTGCAGGCTGTGCCGCTTCAGGAGCCTACAGACGTGGCAGAGAATAACGGCACTTCCTTTGCCGCTGTTAGCGCCAGCATGCTCACGACGCCTTCACGTACCGCTCGTAACACCCGCTTATCTCCACTCGTCCAGCTTTTGTTCAAGTGCGCCCTCTACATTGATGTCAAAAGAGAGGTCAAGACATGCCGTCCACAATTTAAGCTCATTAACTGCAAGCGCAACTACTGCGGGGTGACAAATTAAAGGAAAAACGTTTACCCGGCCTACACCTAGGCATTTGTTGACGTGATTTAGGTCCACTTGTTCGTTTTAGCGCAGGGAATTTTACATTGTGGGCCACATACAGCCCACTTTCTGTGTAAAGAAGTTTAACTACACATTTAATCCCTGAGATGTCTTAATATATGAAAAAAAGTGCTATTTCAGCAGTACGTCTTACATTGCTGCTGCCGTAAAATGGAATAAAAATAAATTGTAAAAAATAAATGTGTACACTTACAGAAAAAGTCCTGATAGCCCAGTGGCCAAACTGTCCTGTAATACTAAACAAACTAATCTTTTCCTACCCTTTAAAAAAAAAAAAAGCACTGGGGAACAGACATTTTTTGCTTATGTCTTGATATTCTAATGGACTCAATTCATTATTTGTTAGGCCTGGGTATCATCTAGAATGTAAAACTGTGAAATTTTGACTGACTTTGACTTGAGGAATTTTGTGTCTCATCTCATCTCACAGGCAATATCATTAAAAGTCATCTCACTGTGTTGCACTATATATGTTGCATGCTATCTGCACCACTAGAGGGCGAGCTGGTGTTTCATGCTTGTCATAACAACATCCTGGATCTTTCTTACAGTCCTGTGGGGAAAAAAAACAGCAACACAAGACCGTTTACTTTCTAATGTTTTGTATATCAGGAGAAGAGACTGAAAAAGTCATATAGAAAACGATTCCTTTATATTACTGCTAAAGATGGCTTTTCAAGCTATTGAATCATGAGGTGTGCTCACCTTTTCACACACAGCTTTGGTTAAATAAATAATGGAATAGCATGTCATGCACTGTTGTTTATTAGAGGTTGAATCTACCCAACTAAGACCTACTGAGGACCATTCAAGGGAGGGAGACTTCCCTCTCTTGTATCCACACTGACTCTCCTGCCGGCCAGGTGTAATGGTTGTAGAGACAAATGAAGAATGCATGGTCTGACATACAGAGATTCCTTCATTTGTAAGAGAGACCTATATGGACTCCTCTGCACCTTTGAGCTTGTCCATTTTCACTGATTAAAGCTGTAACACGAATGAAACAGGATTGGGATTTACATGTTGGTCATTTTTAATGATGATAAGTCAAATGTATAGCATGCGCTTTCATTGACGTCAATTCACTCAAGCGCTTCAAACCCACTGACATAACTCACCCACGTGTGTATAACAGTGACATCTCCAGCCCTGACGTGACACTGGAGCTACAGATGGACGCCAGACTGGGCCTGGTCTCCCAGTCAGAGGAGCCATTTTCACGCTTTCTGACACTGTGACAGCCTGCTGTGAGCTGGAGGGTCCTCTGAGGAATGTGACTAAGTAACTCAGCTGGGCAAGCGGTTCTCATGCATACACGAATACTTGGGCTATCTATACCAGCTGTTGTTGTGGTGACTAAAATGGGACATTTTCTGGGTACACAAGGGTTCGATTTGACCTCTAGCCCCTTTGGTGACTGTTGCACTATGACAATGTGTAACATAAGGCTTCACAGAGGAGTCATCATCCTCCACAGTTGAATCTCTTTATTGCACACATTTATGAAGAGCTGCCAAACTCTGGCTACACACAACAGTTTTGATTTAAAACAGACCTCTGCTCCGAATTCAGAGCAGCTTTGTGTTGGATGAAAACAGAGGGAAAATAACCAGTTTTGCAATTCAAATAGATGTTTTGTGTGCTGAAAGCAGTGTGTTATTTACCCCCATACATATGTATTATCAGCCCGACTATGGAGTTAATGGACAAGCTTTTTGAGCGGTTGGTGAACAACAAAAAAAGGCATCATGGCCAGTTTTGCATGATTTATAAAGTGATTAAGACTATCACAACTCTGCTGCTCACACCAAATGATTTATTTTTCCATTCAGTCGCACATTTTCACATGTTCACTCATCTCACACTTCTTCTCAACCACAAGCCTTCTCTTCCTTTACCAGACATGCACAAAAATCTGTTGTGTGGCACAAAACCACACAACTAAAAACTTCTATACGAGTCTCTTTAAAAAATGTTTAGTGTGTTATGATCGACTAACACACACTGCAAAAAAACTTTAGGCAAGTCATAACAAAAGTTTGTGCAGAAAAAGGGGAAGGAGTTGGAGTTAATGCAATTCAAGAGATTAAAAAAAATAAAAAAACAGAAACTATTAAACTGGAAAAGCTGGTTTTAGACTAAAACTGACAACATACACATGCGTACCTTGGTTCCACAATACTAGATCAGTCCGAATTAACTGAATGAATTTGAAATAGATGTGGCTTCAAAGCTTTTTACCAATTGGTTTCCTATTTTTGTCCCCAAGTAGCTGCATTGCATTAATTTCTGAAGCACTACTGATGACTGGTGTGGTCTTATGCATGCTAAAAACTAATATAAGTAGTTATATACTAAAAAACCCAGACTAAACAAAGCTAAGGAAATATGCAATAGTACTGGGAAGTTTTTAGTTTGCCTTTCCTTTGAAACATTCAATACATGCTGTTCCTGATGTCACAGCCCAACTAGAAGGCGAAGACAAGACGAGGTGGTAATTTAGAAAAAGACCATTTATTTACACGAAACATAAACTAAAGGAATATGTGTGTATCAGTCAGCAGTGTAAAGCATGCACTGAGGAGTGGCAGAGTATGAGGAATGCAGGATAAAACCAAAAACACATGCTGTTGTTGAGCTAGTCTGAGTCTGGGAGACACGGAGCGACTTCAGGAAGGAGAGAGCTTTAATGAGCCCAGGTAGCACGTTCAGCTAATTACACTCCAATTATCTCCTGCAGAACAAAGCACAGCACAAAAAAGAGAAACACCTAGTGCCTAATCATTACCAACTATAGGTTTAATAACTGCAGCAAACAAAAAACAAGATGACCAAAGATAGTTTTAGGTTTTATGTGCTTCTTAACATCGCCCTGCAGTTCTCTGAATTAGACTGGCAAGAGTGATGTTCGTATAAATAAATCTGTGCATGAATGCATTTTTCCATGCATGCTTTAAATTGTTATTCTAAAAAAGTATGATCAGCGTCGGTGATTTTTACCAGCCTTCCTCACCCGTACGGTCCAATCCATGCGTTTCCTTTCATCGCATGACGTTCAGTACTGACAGTGTTGTCCAGTTTTAAACTAATAAACCCGAAGATTCCAGGAACAGGATTACAAGCTACATGCTCCCTTGTGTCTGTGAATGTTTGATTTAATGGAAACAAGAGCTAATCCCTGGTGTACTGAACATATGATGTCAGCACAATGTTTAGGAGTGAAGCAGAAAAGACTCGGTTTAAATAACACAAACGCTGAGCCAGCCAGGTCTCAGAACCGCTCAAGCCTAAAAACTAAATGCAAATGTTAATGTTTAGCCTTTAATCACTGATTACGTTAGGCTGTTCCAACACTGTTTAGTGTGAAGTGGTGCAGAAATCCAGAATTAATTCTTAATCCATTCATTCTCTTCTGCTTATCTTTATCAAGGTAGTGGAAATTTAGAGGGTGGGGGGTGAGACCAAAGGGTGAGAGGCGGGATGCATCCTGGACAGGTTGCCAGCCTGTGGCAAGGCTAATGGAGAAGACAGCCACTCACGTTCACACCTATTAATCCTTCATCAATTAACTAATCTGATAATCCAATCAAAAGAATTTGAGCTGCTATTCTTTCCTTGTTGAGTACACTATGAGTCTGACAGCGTCGGGGTCACAAGGTTAAAATACGATCACATTACTTGCTGTTCTTGACCAAAACAAAGCCTGAAAGGAGACTGATTCAGCCAGAGGCCTTTATTCACAAACCTCCCCACATCCTACACAGGCGTCAATGCAAATCAGCCTATTGTTACACACTGAGCTATCTGACCCGAAGACACTAACCTTTTACATCAGTATTAATGACATCCCTACATTAATCTGCCACAGTATCTGTAAAGGAGATAATAAATTAAAGAGTCCTTTAACTGAATGAGTTACTCACAGCCAGGAGGGAGATACTGAATAAAAAATAAAAAATAAATAGATAAATATTTAGATGTGTCACATTTATCATACAGCATTTAAAGCTGTTCTAACTTATTTACAGTAACAGTGAAAGAGATAAACAAACAGTTGGAATTTCAGCATTTCAGCATGCAAAGTTAACAGCTTCAGAGTATAGTAGAATGTGCAGCAGCTGAAAGGCAACATTAGTCTCCTGTTCCAAAGGAAAGACCAGAAACACAGCTTCACCTGTGCTTGATGTGAAAATCACATCAAGCCGAGTAATATAAACTCCAGTGCTGTAGGTCCAATTCCAGCTGCAGATACAAATCTTCTTTGGGGTTGCATCAAGAAGGACATCCGGTGTAAAACTCCAAATCAAACATGTGGCACCCTCATGGCAAGGAAGGAATTAAAATAGTATCAATACTGCGTATACTTCAAAAAGTACCTCAAATATGAAGTCAAAATTGTTCCTTAAAGTACTTT